CCAGACAACTGCTCCATCGTGTGGGTGGCCAACCCCGAGGAGACGGCCTTCTTCATACGCATGCTGCTCGCCGACATCCGCGCGCGGCGAATGCAGCGCAGCTACATAGAGTGACGCACGCACACGGACGGAGGGAGCGGCGTGCCGCGCTCGCGCCCACAGCTGTTGGCCACCCATCGCGCCGCAACCCTCTGCGCCATCAGCCGCGCACGCAGTCCCTTTGCGCGGCCCTCCCGGGCCGGCCAGGCTGCTGGGAGGCCGCGGGCCGCGAGGACGGCCCGCATGTGGCCGGAGCCAGCAGTGGCCGGCAGGGCTTCCCCCTGCGCGTCCCGCTGTCGGACTCGCCTCGTGGCTGCGGGCGCTGAACGTGCAGCCGCTCAGGCCGGGTCGGGTCTCTAGTTAGGCAGGGCGGCAAGCGGCGCGGCGACGCGTCCGGTAGCTGCCGCCACGCAGATAGGTACCCGCAGCGCACCACGCATGCGCGCGGCCACGCCAGGCGGCCTCTCTCTGTGGCGCGCCTCGTCGCGCCGGCTCGCGTGCGGCACACGTACACGTGTGTGCGCATGGTTGGTGCACAGGTCCCGCTGAGTGGGGCGTGTCTGTTGGCCCTTCATTTTGCACGCCGCATTCCAAAGGGCGGCCCCATTGGGTGCGCGCGTCTTTCCTGGTGCTGCGCTGCCTCATGCGCACCTTCCGTGTGCGTGGGGTTGCTGCGGTGGGCAGGTCCAACCGCCATTCCCAAATTTCAATTCTGCCGCTTGCAACGCCCGGTGCGCCTGGAAGCGTTACCGCCCTGTACCAACCAAACCCATAACGTGCTACCTGCTGTGGCGCGAGCGTTGGCCACGCACGCGCCTCTGCAGGGCAGGCCAGGGCTGCGGCGCCACACCCAAACAGCGGATGTGGTGCCCCATCAGAGCAGCCCTGTGAGCCCAGCCGAATGCTGCTTGCGCTCGCAGGGTCGGCCGCCGCCTGTAGATCACCCACGGCACTGCGCGGCCCGCGGCACCGGGTGTCCGAGCGTCGCGCCGCGCCCTTTGTCGCGTCGCGCCCGCTGACAGACCGACGGATTGGCAGAGGCCGCAGTAGAGGGGCCGTGAAGCACGCACCCCGTCAATCATTGCACTATATCCCTTTACTTCAAAAGCTGCATGCGCACCAGCAACCAACCTCCCGCATGGCCCCAGCCAGCTGTCCTGTTGTTGTAACTGAATTGAACCCGCCCCTCCTGTGCATCAAAGGGGCCGTACTTCTTGCTGCCCCGGGGAAGCCCCGACAGCAGGCAGGGCCGTCGCACCCCCAGTGAGCCTGTACGGCCCATCGGTGCATGCTGGTGCCAAGGCCCCTTGCAGCTGTGCACTGCGACGACAGCCCAACTCAGCACCACCAAAAACTCAGCAACCTCACGCGGCAGCCAAAGGCACATAGCAATGTCCAGTTACTGCGCCGTCCAGCCCGCGCGCTGCCGCTTCCTCAGCGGATCAGGGCAAGGGGGGGCCTCATTTGTGTTGGTGCGGCGCATGCAGCACGTGCAGTGACCGGCGCGGCCCGCAGTGCGTGCAGGCGCCATGCATGAGGTGGCCACGCCGTGAACACCGGCGTGCCTTTCATCGGTCAGCGGTGCAGGCCGTGTGGGCCACAAGGGAGGCGCGTCGCATTGTGGAGCCGCGTCAGAAGCCGCTGCTGGGGTCCTGCGCCTTGTGCGCTGCGCGCTGCAGTATGTACTGCGTCGTGTCGATGAACCGCTTGGCGCAGTTCTCTATGCAGCTGGTCTCGCGGCCAGAGAGGTAGGTGCCCGGGGACGACACGCACTTGTCCCAGCACACGTCTGGCGGTTTTTTTGGGGGGGTGGAGGGGGGGCGGTGGACGGGTCGGGGACGCGTGGGTGGAGGTCTCGCCTGTGCGGCGGCCTAACGGGTCGCAAGCCACTCGGCCTATGCAGTCACCCATCAATGCTTGAAATGAGGCCGAGTGATGTGACGTGAAAGTATTTTCTGCGCATGGGAAACGGGGCGGCGCCACAATGCGTTCAACCTGGCCCCCGCCAAGTCAGCAGCATGCCGCTCCAAGTTGACCCTGGCACTACTGCAGCAACCATCCACGGATGATGAGCACACCTGTGAGCGTTGCTATCATTTGCTGCATCTGCGGCCGGCGAAGCAATGAGCAGCGTCGGCAGCGGGTGAGCAAGTCGAGCCCAGGCACAGAGCAGCGGCGGCAGCAAGTGGCGCGTCAGCAGCAGTGAGCATCCGTCGCACAACCTACCGGCATGGAATGCTGCAAGTTCACGCTTCAAAACGCGCAAGCTCTTTACCTGCGCTAACTGCTGCTCCCGCTCGATGAAAGCCTGCATCTCGTGGCTGGGCCCCTTTGGCTGCGCCATGGCGTCGCTTGTGCACGCTTGTAGGATCAGGAGTTTTCTGTGCTTGAGCGACGGCTGGTAGCGGCTACCCACAACGCGGCCCAGATCACGGAACCTTACAAGCAGTCAGGCAGCAATGGAAGAGCAAGGACGAATCGAGCAAATCCTGCGTAAGTGAGCGCTGCACGGTCTAGTCCCTCAGGCTGCTTAGGCCACCAGACGACAAAACAGCAGTCCACCTTCCACCACACACAAGCCGCTTCAAAGACCCGACCCAAACGGCACGCCCCCCGCCGCGCTTCTTCAGCGCAGTTTATGGTGCCTGGGTGCATTTGAGTCCTGAGCGCAGGACTGCAGTCACTCTGACAGGTCATCCTCCAGCTCGTCAAAAGAACCGCCCGCCCCGACTGCCAGCACACCACCGCCACCTCCCTCAGGCCTCTCGGTCCCGCCCCGGCCCCCGCCATGCAAGCGACGCCGCGGCAGAGCCACACCGCTGCTGACACCCTCCGCGGCCGCTTCTTCCTCCTCCTCCTCCTCCTCCTCCTCCTCCTCCTCCCCCTCGCCCTCCTCCTCATTGCGGCCAGCTCGCTCCCCCCTGCCAGCGCTCCGCTCTCCCGCCTCGTCGCCGCTCCCGCTCCCGCTGCTGCCCGGCCCAGGCCCCGCGTCTCCGCCACCGTCGTCAGCCTTGACCCCCTCTGCCGCGGCCCTGCTCTCGCGGTTCACGTCTGACACCACCCCCGTGCCCACCGCGGCCGCCAGCGCCGGCGCGGCCGCCACCTCTGGCCCGCCCTCGTCCAGCCAGTCGATGCCTGACGCGCCGCCGCCCCGCACCACCTCGCGCGTCGCGCAGCCGCCGCCCACCTGGCGATGAGGGGGCCGGCAGTAATGCACTTGACTATCAGAAAAGGGGTGCGACTGCTGACAAGATTGTTCCACCATTTTGTTGCAATGTGGGCACGCAGGCGCGGCCCTTGCCTGTCCGTCTCAGGGTGTCATTGAAGTCATGCACCCCGCAACGGACACGCGCAGTCAAAGGCCGAGCACCACAACACACACGTGTGCGCCCTCCCTCCCTCCC